AGGAATTGGCAAGAGCTAGCACAGGCCCCCTTCTCCCAGACTGGAGGGATTTCTACCGGCACAGCAAAAAAATATAGGAGAGGAAGAAGCCGATTAACCAGAAGCTTGGCCTTCGGGTTGCCAGATAGTTTCATTAAAAAATGATGGGGAAAAAAATTGGTTGAGAAAAAAAAGGGCGGGGGGGGGGGGAGGGAACAAAATTGTTGAGCAAAAAAAAACCAGCACCAAAAAAAATAAATCATGGTGCCTTTAAATCCCATACTCCCCGCCCCCACAAAATGCAGTAGGGGAAGAATGTCCCAAGAGGCCTTCCGTCCAAGAAAAACAGAAAATACAAGCCATTTCACATGTCCGGTATTTTCTGTTTTTTTTTTACCAGACAGAAGCCACAAATACCGGACAGTCCAGGCCAATCCAGGACACTTGGAAACCCTACTTGGCCTTAGTGCTGTGGTTGGCAACCTGTGGCCCATCGGTGTCCTACGTGTAGCCCTGGAACTTTTGTTTACCATTGATCATGCGCAGGCTTGCAGATTTCACTGGTTTTCTCCCATTAGGTTTTTTCCTACCAGTATTACTAAAGTAATACACCAGTAAAGCAAGAGCCCATGAAGGGAGGTGTGGGCTGATTGCACACACCACTGAGACTATGTCTACACGGTGAGTGTTTTGAGGAAGAGGCAATGCAAATGGAGTACTTATTTGCATATCTTGCACTCTCATTTGCATATCTTCTTCTGATCCTTTTTGCGGACGAGATTTTTGCGATAAGCCCTGTGTAGACGGGGCCATTTGTCAGAAAAACTCCTTTTTGCGCAAGATCCCTTATTCCTCAAAAAATGAGGTTCACAGGCTCTTGCGTAAAAGGGTTTTTTTCCGACAAATGGTCCCGTCTACACAGGGCTTATTTTTTGGCATAAACCTCTTCTGCAAAAAGGATTGGAAGATATGCAAATGAGAGCACACGATATGCAAATGAGCACTCATTTGCATTTCCTTTTCCGCAAAACACCCGCAGCATAGATGTAGCCTGACTGAGAGACGTACGCTTCCTCTGCAGCCGATCGGTGCCCCCGATGCAAAACTACCCTGTTCTGGGACAGGGACAACATATCTTGGTTACAACAAATTGTGGCCCATTTGAGAGAATGGATGGCCACTCATATGGCCCACTCATTAGCTTAGATTGACCATCGCTGTCTTAGTGTGTGTGTATATGCAGGTATGCTGGAACAATTTATACAGCAGAAGTGCTGAGAGACACTGACCCAAACAATGAACCCTGTAAATAATAGTACCCACTTCAAGCCAGAGGTTTGCACCCCCAGAATCTCTAGTTCCAGCATCTAGGTGCATATGTGGAGAAGAGTTTGCAGGAGGAACTATCACTATGAAGGAAAAGGAAGACTGAGAATTACACCGGTAGACTGAGGGGCCACCAGATGGAGCCAATACACCCAGTCTTAGGAGTTCTTTTTCTGAGCTGGTGGACAACGTTCAGTCTCTGAAGAAATGCTGGGTTGTTAGCTTTAAAATGTGTAATTCTTCAGGGAGCTCTTGCAAGCCGCTGGGATATTTGCTTTCCATCTTAATACACTTTTTGGGACAGAGTTCACAGAATACTAGAACTGGAAGGGACTTTGAGAGGTCATCCGATCCAGTCCCTTGCATACACAGCAGGACCAAACACCACCTAAGTCATCCCTGACAGGTGTTTATCTAACGGCTCTTAAAAATCTCCCATGATGTAGATTCCACAACCTCCCTAGGCAATTTATTCCCGTGTTTAACCACCCTGACAGGAAGCTTTTCCTAATGTCTAACCTGAACCTCCCTTGCTGCAATTTAAGCCCATAGCTTCTTGTCCAATCAGAGGTTAGGGAGAAAAAAATTCCTCCTTGCTATACCTTTTTAGGTACTTGAAAGCTGCTATCATGTCCCCTCTCAGTCTTCTCCTTTCCAAACTAAACCCAATTCTTTCAGACTCCTTTCCCACTAAAATCATGGGGCAGCTCCTCACACCAGCTGGCTTAAACTTGCACAGCTCCACTGACCTCAGCAAAGCGATGTTGATTTACCCAGAGGTATTAGAAATACCGTGTGCCTGATCGTCTACTCACATAATCTACTGTGAATCAGAAGTAACTCCATTGATGCCAAAAGCGTGAGGCCACAACTGACCCTTTCCTTGGAAGCAAACCCAGCCAAATAGCCGGAGCATAGGTGAATGCAGGCCCCAATCCATCACGCCAATATCTAACTGCTTTCACTTTCAGGCTATAACATGCTTGGGGCATTACTGTGGGACAGCATTTCACTGTGAAGAATTTTTGTGGTTTATTTCAGGTGGAATGTATCTTTTCGTCCCAATTTGTTACTAATTATCTTATTGATTGCCAATGCAAGGCTGTGTAGTTTAGCAAGGATGTTTTAATTGTGATAAGTATCCCTTAGCTTTGTGCCAGTCTAAAGTTGTTGTTGGGTTTTATAAATATCAAATTTCCAAAGTTGAAGGCAAACATAAATTAAATGTTTCTCCTTAGTAACTAATTGGCTTATTGATTCCCAATATAAAAGTGCAATTTACCAATTCGTCTTCTGCATCTCCAGACAGGGCTAACATAATAAACCACCACAAGTGTAACCAGTAAAACTCCATTTAAAGTCTATTTCTTCCCCCTTTCTTCTCTCCACAGAGAAGTTATGCTGAGAAGACCAGAGAATATCCATGAGTTTGCAGCAGGTAAGACCATTATGTTAATCCTGTTAGACATGAAAAGTAAGAGCTGTTGTATTATTATTATTATTATTTATTATTATTTCATTATATTCACAAGTATTGAGGTGACTGATTCTAACTTACCTTAGTGTAAATTCAGAGTACAGGCAGTCCCCGGGTTACATGGATCCGACTTACATCGGATCCCTACTTACAAACGGGGAGAGGCAACCCCGCACTAGCTGCTTCCCCCCAGCAGACCGGGGAGATGCGAAGCTAGCGCCCCCCCGAGCAGACCAGGGAGACGCGGAGCGGCTTTTCTCAGCAGACACCTCATCTTGAGAATAAAGGACTGAGGGAAGTGAGGTGTGGGAGAATAAAACTGAGCTCTGGAGAAATGTTTGGCTAGAGTTTCCCCTACAATATGTACCAGTTCCGACTTACATACAAATTCAACTTAAGAACAAACCTACAGTCCCTATCTTGTACGTAACCCGGGGACTGCCTGTAATCCCACTGAAGCCAGAGTTGAATTACAAGGGAGGAGGGGAAGAAGGAAGGGAGGGGGGGACTATTTCAAGCTCCACTCACAAAATAAGCTCCACTTACATAAGTTGCCAAAGCAAGCCCCAGCAGGCCACTTGTCTGGTTTGGAACCACACCGCCCTCTTTTGGGATGGTTTGTCCCCCATCCGGCACTGGGCCCAAACAGGATATGGTTTTGGCCAGGGGACACCATTTTTAAGGGAGCGCTGCTCCACCCTGTCCGGCAGGACCTCGAAGGCATGCCAGATCACGGGGGTGAAGTCATACCAGTGGGGGGCAGGCGGATGCCCTCTCAGGAAGTACTTGAATGCCCAGTGTTCCAGGAGCATGTGATTTGCCACCGTACGTCTGCAGACTCAGGCAGACCCCACTGCGGCGGTTACACTCCACTCGCATCTCTGCCCCATGACAGCTCAAGATGGAGGGTCTGGACTTTGGTGAGATTTTGGAGCACTAGACAAAGTGGCTTAAGAACCGTGCTGTGGATAGGCAGGGGCTGGCTGCCTCTGAGCCCCGTGCTACCCCAGTGGAGTTTCTCTGGACTGACATGCTGCAGGGACTGTGCAGGAGGAGGGGGGGCAGCTTGCTGCTGGAAGGCTGGGCTAGCAGATCCTGAGCCATACCGGGGACAGAGCAGGGAGATTGCCCTGTGAAAGTGGGGAGGCCACATTACAGAGCGTGTGGAAAAAGCTCCTGCACAGAAGACCTGGCTGCCAAGGGGCTGCCGCTGTTGCTGTGGGTGTACAGATGCCAAGGGATAGTGCAACTGGCACCGTGGCTGAGCTTTCCTGCAGCCACTAAGGAAGTTGGCAAAAGCCCCTGGTGATGTCTTATCCGTGTGACTCAGCCAGGACTGCCCCGTAATGAATGATAATGAGCAACGAGCAGGTAAACATGCCATTTGTACTGGCATTTGCATTTAGTCACTGTGGCCTGAAGGCTCGAACACGCCCTGGGCCTTGCCAGACCTGTGTCCTATTCCCACCTGCTGCTGGCCAGCTGGGAGCCTTTGGGCAAGACACTTCCTCTCCCTGAGCCTCAGTTTCCCCATTTCACCGATGGGGATAATGATGGTGCCCTCCTTTGTGAAGCGCTTTGAGATCTACAGCTGGAGAAGAGCTAGGACCCATGATGGTTGATTTAGTGGGGTTAGCCCACAGATCTGTGTTTTGTCATTGGCTGCATGCACTACAACGGCCTTTGTGTTACGGGGTCAGAGTCGCTGATGGATTTCAATGGGTGTCAGGCACCTTTGTGCAGCTTGGCTATTAACTCTATTTCCTGGTGTTTGGAGGCTCGACTCTAGGTGCATTGCCGGTCAACCTGAAACTAAGGATATTAACTATCAGGTATTTGGGTAAACGTGTAACCACAAGACATTTTAGCGATTACACGTTTACATATAGGGGTGGGGCAGATGGGAGTGAGCTCCAGCCAGCCCCCACCTCCCGCTGCATCTGATAAAGAGGCAGCAGCACAGAGGGTAGGTGGCTCCGCGGGAGCCGATATGCATAGGGAGCCAGCTTGAAAACGGCTTCCTGCATGTACCGGCTCCCACATCCTCCCACCTGCTGCCTTTGTGGGAGGCAGCAAGTGGGGGGGGGGAGGGGGGAGTCAGCAGGTATGGAGAGCTGGCTTTTAAGATGGCTCCCTGCATGTGCAGACTCCCACCTCCCCCCCTTTGCTTCCTCTGATACAGAGGCAGCAAGGACAGGGAGTGCATGTAGTCGATATGATTAACTGAAAAGCCCAGCTTACCGATTAATCCTGTAATCAACTACACACTGACATCCCTACCTGAAACTGCACTAATAACATTTTGGGCAGCACATGTAGATCCACCTAACTAGCAGGGCCATGTGTGGAAGATGACGCTGTGCCTTATCTGTCTATCGCCATGCCGTCTCAGCTATTGTCTGCCCAGACACGTATCATGCTTATCTATCTATCTATCGGGGCACCTGGTATCAGAGGCAGGGGAAGGCTTTGCCTTCCCAAACTGCCAGCCTGGCCCAGCCCACACTCCACTCCAGAAAACCTACTGTAGGCATACTGCAGGCGGAGTGTTACTGCCCCCAGCGCCTGCCTTCCCCGGTGCTCTGGGGTCAGGGAACCTGGGGTCAGGCACTACCTGCCCTTCCCATGGTGCTGGGCAGGAGGTAGGGGCTGTGTGCCACCCCACTTCTCTGTGGTCAGGCGGGGGGCGGGGGAGGTGGGAAGAAGGGGTGAAACTGGGAGAGAGCTTACCTCTTGCAGCCCTACCTTGACTCACTACCCATGCTATTTATCACCATTGCTCGTAGCTACTGAATGAAATGAAAGACGCCTAGTTTAGACCAATTTTTTTCCTTGCAGTCACAGGGAAGGATCATTTCTTTTCCCCTGTCTCTGTCATTTCAGAACATTTTACGGATCCGGAGCTTCCAATGAAGATACAGAAAAAACTAGCAGAAAAAGCAAACCAGATAAATTGAGGGACACATCCCATTTCCCTTACTTGCTGAAGCAGGATAGAAATTTAGGAGGGTTTCTGTTTGCCCGTTTTGTGATTCTTAGTTTTATCCTGCAGAGATTGTCTGGGAGGTGGTTATTTGTATTTTGAAGGCTTTGCAATATGGCTAATAAATCTCAGTTTTAGAGTGTCCTCTGGAGGCAGAAAGAGAGATTGCACCAGCGTCTGTTTCTGGTGGTGTTTCATGCTTCACAGCTGTATGTTCGGACGGCTTCATTAAAACAGATCTGCTGGGTCAACCCTGTTCTATTCATGGGTGATTTCCTTTCCCTGCTTGGACTTTTCTGCTTGGCAAAGAAAAGGTACAAAGACAGGAATCAGCTCTAACAGCAGGAAGGTTTCTGTTTCTGAGGACAGATTATTTTTTTCCTAGTGGAAGTGGTTGTAGTAATGGAAATTAGGTACCGGCTAGTTTCCCACAAGCGTCTCCATCGGTCACTTTGACACCTGCCTTTTGTCCTCCACCTAAACCTGGGCGGGAGCCGTGGGGCTGGCCCTTATTTCTGTAGTTGGCTAAAGCCGACCTCCCGAACCAAGCAGCCGTGGGCAGAGGGCCCGCCAAACGCTGCAGTTCAGCCCTGGTTTTCTAGACACATTTTTCCACCAGTAACAGTATTTGTAGCAAAAACAAAAGGAAAAACTATGCAGCACTTTAAAGACTAACAAGATGGTTTAATAGGTGATGAGCTTTTGTGGGCCATTTTAGCCATATGGCTTTCTTGCGCAAGAAGCCCCTGCCACACGTCCACACTGCCCTCTTGTGCAAGAGGGCTTACACTTGTTAGAAAAGAGCGTAGCTCTTGTGCAAGAAGCCCAGTCTTCCAATGCCATACTGTACATCTTCTTGCGCAAGAGTGGGCGGGCAGTGTGGACGCTCTGCAGGTTCTTGCGCAAGAACCTGCCAGTGTAGACATAGCCTAGGTGTAGCACCCTGCCAGGGGCAGGGAGAACAGCTTTTCCTTTAAGCCTGGGAGTTACAGATCTCCACAGACTTCTGTTCCCCAAGTGACCAAGAGATTGATCCTGAAGAGCAGTGAAACTAACCTCAGTGATTTAACCAGGGCCCATGAGCCTGTAAACTCACCATTCTTCATTCTCTCTCATCTACACTTGAAACTTAATTTGGATTAAGCTAGAGTGTAATGTAAAAGCACAATAGTTATTCCAGATTATTGGCAATAAAAAATTATTAGGGGTTTGGAACGGGACCCATACGAAGAGAGATTAAAAAGGACTTGGATTTTTCAGCTTGGAAAGAGGAGACTGAGGGGGGAAATGATAGAGGTCTATATAATCATGACTAGTGTGGACAAAGTGAATAAGGAAGAGTTATTTTCTTGTTCCCACAATATAAGAACTAGCGGTCACCAAATGAAATTAATAGGTAGCAGGTTTAAAACAAACTAAAGGAAATTTTTCTTCACACAACGCACAGTCAACCTGTGGAACTCCTTGCCAGAGGATGTTGTGGAGTCCAGGATTTTAACAGGGTTCAAAAAAGAACTAGCTAAATTCATGGAGGTTAGGTCCATAAATGGCTATTAGCCAGGATGAGTAGGAATGGGATCACATGAGGATTACCTGTTGTGTTCACTCTCTCTGGAGCATTTGGCATTGGCCAACATTGGCAGATAGGATACTAGGCTAGGTGGCCCTTTGGTCTGACCCAGTCTGGTTGTTCTTCTGATTAGCTATTCTGGAGTATGCTTAGACAAACCTGTAGGTACTTATATAGTCCCTGTTACCAAACTAACGGAAAACCGTTGTATAAATCACAGGACTAATCCTGATCTCCCGCTGCTAACCCCAGTGATTTCATTAGAGTTACGCCCTCGGGAGGGCTGGATTCTGCACAGCTCTCTGGCTGGGATCCAGCAGAGATGTTAAGCACACCCTTGGACTTTAAGCACAGCTGTAGCCCCATTGAAGTCAAGTGGAATGACCCACGAGCTTCTAGTTAAGAAGCTGGTCATGCGCTTCTCGGATTTCTCCTTTGCACTGGTGTAAAATGAGAATTAGGCCCATGTTATTTTTTTCAGATGGGTCCCCTGGGGAGGGAGGAGCTGTATCTTGCCAACGCGTTGGCCAACTGACCTCCATTTTGCACTAGTCACGCCAGCCCCGCCCCCCCATGTCACATGCCCGTTTTCGAGGCAATCGGCCTAGGTCTGTGGTTTTTGCAGCATGTAAATAATCTGCCGCATACAGAAAGTTTGCTGCAGCCTCACAGGTGGAGTCGGGCCTCCTGTTTCCAAGCGCCTAGTGCAAAGCTGCCCCATAACACCTCCCTCATTCTGGGAGTCACTTTGACCTAACCCGGATGCCGACTTGTAATAACTGATGGTGCCCCTCCCACCAAGGAAGAGTACTCTGGTGCATATTCAGGCCAACCCCTGCTAAAATCCCATGGGAAAAATAACTTAAATGACTTTCTTCCAGCCTTTCTCAGCTGCTCCCATTAGCCTGGGCACTATGTGCGGTCCCCTGTCCCGTGCCAGTGTTTCCTGTGCTTTTAGGACACCAGAAGATAGATCTGGCCTCAGAAAAGGAAACCATGAAATGATTTTTCTTGTCATTACAATTCGCAGAACTAGGTGGCTACGTCTAGACTGGCAAGATTTTCCGCAAATGCTTTTAACGGAAAAGTTTTCCGTTAAAAGCATTTGCGGAAAAGAGCATCTAGATTGGCACGGACGCTTTTCCGCAAAAGCACTTTTTGCAGAAAAGCGTCCGTGCCAATCTAGACGCACTTTTCTGCAAAAAAGCCCCGATCACCATTTTCGCGATCGGGGCTTTTTTGCGCAAAACAAATCTGAGCTGTCTACACTGGCCCTTTTGCGCAAAAGGACTTTTGCCCGAACAGGAGCAGAATAGTATTTCCGCAAGAAGCACTGATTTCAGACAGTAGGAAGTCAGTGTTCTTGCGGAAATTCAAGCAGCCAGTGTAGACAGCTGGCAAGTTTTCCGCAAAAACAGCTGCTTTTGCGGAAAAACTTGCCAGTCTAGACACCGTCAGTGTGTTCGGGGGAGGTGCGGGGTGTGAAACCTGGCCTGGAGTGATCTCAAAGCCACGACAAACAATGTTACACGCCCAGGTTTTAAAGAGCCTGGATGAGATATCAGGGTACAGCTGGTCTGCAGAGGCATTTCGGGATACCAGAGGTATCCTGAAAAAACTCCGCCGCGTCCAAAGAATGTGTTTGTTCTTCTGCTTTTTTTGAGGAAGAAGAGCAAACGCACTCTTTCAGAAGCCCCTGTATTCCTCATTCCACGAGGAAGAAGGGGGCTTTCAAAAGAGGGTTTTTTTTCCTGAAATTTGGCCAAGTCTAAACGGGCCAAATTTCAGAAAAGCCTTTTTTGACAAAAGTATCAGAAAAAGATACGCAAAATATTTCCAATAGATCCTCGCAGCCTAGACATACCCTCAGAAAGATGAAATCTCTTTCAGAAGCCCCTGTATTCCTCATTCCACGAGGAAGAAGGGGGCTTTCAAAAGAGGGTTTTTTTTCCTGAAATTTGGCCAAGTCTAAACGGGCCAAATTTCAGAAAAGCCTTTTTTGACAAAAGTATCAGAAAAAGATACGCAAAATATTTCCAATAGATCCTCGCAGCCTAGACATACCCTCAGAAAGATGAAATGGACACATGGGAAACGACTCTTTCAATAGTGCCTGTGATGGGGTGCAGGCTCAAGAGACTCCTTAGAGGTGCTTTCCAGGGTGCTGACAAAGCCACTGACACTCACCTCCTTGCTCTCTGGTGCTCACCACCCTGTCCTGCTGGGCCAGCTCACCTGGTGTCCTCCAGCCAAGGCCCAGAGCTGAGATCAACCCCTTCCCTCCCCCCTGCAAGAGTAATACAGACACTGAAACTTCAGACCCAAGGAAAATGCAGTTTTCGGCCCAGCTTCCAGGAAAACCACTCCCCAATGGGCTCTGCACAGGCACGTGATCTGGGCCTCAGGCAGAAAAGCCGGCTAGCCACCAAGACAGTGTTGTAGATTATGAAATTGAAGGAAGACGATAAAAGCAGAGAAAGCAGTGGGTTGGGAATCAGGAAACCTGGGGTCCTTTCCTACTGCCAAATAATCCTTGGATGTTGGCTAAGGCAAGTCTGCATCTGATGCCTCAGTTTCCCCTCTCAACCACTGGCTACGTCTAGACTGGCATGATTTTCAGCAAATGCTTTTAACGGAAAAGTTTTCCGTTAAAAGCATTTGCGGAAAAGAGCGTCTAGATTGGCACGGACGCTTTTCTGCAAAAGCACTTTTTGCGGAAAAGCATCCGTGCCAATCTAGACGCGCTTTTCTGCAAAAAAGCCCCAATTGCCATTTTCGCGATTGGGGCTTTTTTGTGCAAAACAAATCTGAGCTGTTTACACTGGCCCTTTTGCGCAAAAGGGACTTTTGCCCGAACGGGAGCAGCATAGTATTTCCGCAAGAAGCACTGATTTCTTACATGAGATCGTCAGTGTTCTTGCGGAAATTCAAGCGGCCAGTGTAGACAGCTGGCAAGTTTTTCCACAAAAGCAGATGATTTTGTGGAAAAACTTGCCAGTCTAGATGCAGCCACTGTGTTTAGGCTGTGACCTCCTGGGGGCAGTGACCAGAAGACAAGCGGCGCCTGGCACAATAGATGGAGCAACAGCCCTGGTGCTAATGAAGCAGGGGTGACACCCTGCTTGGCAGGCAAAGGATTAATGGCTTCTCATCTCTGGATGCTTTTGCAAAGCCCTGAGTTCTAACAAGGAAGGTGAGTGGCAGCTCGGCTCCCCTGAATGGGTCTCTCCTCTTCGCAGCCAAAGGGGGAACAGGTCCAAAACAGCCCTCTCAGAACCTGGTTGCCTCCCCCTTGGCACAACAGACAGAGCCAGAGCAGCCTCACCCAGCTGGGGAGAAGCACCCGGTACTAGCCTGTCCAAGAGGCTTAAATGTAAAGAAGTTCAGGGTCAGAAGGCTGCATCCCTCAATGAACAAAATCCAGACGAGCAGGCTGTGGGGCTGAGTGGCCAAGAAGCAGATTGAGGAGCTGGTTGCTGTGTTAGGGACACTTGTTTGCTAGAGGAACTAGGCTGAGACCCAACAAAACTCATCTCAGAGGCCAAGTCCTCTCACAGCATGAACTGTGCAGCAGGGATGTGTCTGGTCTCAGGGAAGACACTCCCCCCAACCTGTGCCTAGGATTTGACACACACAAACAAGTCACTAATAGACACACAACACAGAAACCATCATATGGAGACCACACACACACACTTGCATTTTTGTAATCACTTTGACTTCAGCTTTGCCATCGCTGGCTAACTTTCCTGCTGCCTCCATGGTATAACCCTCTGAAAGAGGCGCAGATCAATGCTCGGTGTTAGCCAGTGCTCACCTGCTACGGTATCTTAGGAGGGCATCTCTAAGGCAGGCAGAGCAGAAGAATGCAAATGCTGGCTGTCTCTAGCTACATAGCATTCATTGTACCCTCATTTCAGTTAACTTCCCCCGGATTTCTGCCCCCACACCCTCAAGTCCTCATATAGGAATCCCAAGTTCTCTCCCTAAAGACAATTCCTAAACCCCCATATCTAACAGATCCCTAATTATTAGCTCCACCTCCCCAGCTACACAGATCTTTCAAAGGATCCTTATTCAAAGCAGATCCTGAAGAGGTTTCCATGAATCCTCCCAGGGTCCTCCTTGGTCTGCCAGACTGAAAGCAGCTGCCCCAGCTTTGCCAGAGAACAGGGACTAGCAGCTGGGGTTTCGGCAACTCAAACTCTCAGGGCATCCAGTGATTACCTGCCTGCAGCCATAGCAGAGATGGCACATTTGGCAAATCCCAGCAGACCCCAGCTTGCACTTGGTGGTCAGAGGGGTCTTTACCAATGCCGGGCATGCCCTTAGCTGCAGAAGGAGTTGTCTACACTGCCCCTTCTTGCGCAAGAAAACCCCCGATTATTTTCAGGAATAACAGCATTATGCAAGAGGGTTTTACTTGCACAAGAAGGGGCAGTGTAGACAGTTCCTTCTGCAAAAATGGCAGCTCATTAGGTATGCAAATGAGGCTCGACAATATTCCACCCTTAAGCCTCATTTGCATATTTCTGGTGCAAGAAGCCACAAGTGTAGACATAGCCAGAGAGTTTCCACATCATTTTGCACAGGTAACAAGCAGAGGTGGGAAAGCCCTGCTGGCCTGAGAGATGTTTGGGCACAGAAGGCTCCACCTCCAGCTAAACCTATGGGCCTGCCCCCCAAGAAAGGGTTGGCAGGACTGAGTCCCTGGTTGTCCTGCTTCTCTCACCGTAGCAGCTGCATTTAAGTCCTACTCCGCTGCCTTGAGAGCAGCCCAAGACAGGCAGCCCAGTGCTTCTTTGGCTCTTAGCCCCGTTCACCCCTGGAGAAGCTGCAGGAGGCAGAGGGGAAGGGTGCCGTGTGTGGGTGGCATCACTCCCCGTTCTGGTAGGATGGCTGTGGAGTTCTGATCTCCAGCCCAAGTGAGAGCCTTGTGCCTGCAATAAGGTAATTTCCTGTAGGGGACTCTCCACCTTCCATTTCCTCCCCTCCCCCTACCGCCGACTGGGATCAGCACAATCAGGCCCGGCATCAGGCTGGATACCTGGGAACAGAGCATTTGGTGCTTTTCTATTGACCAGGTAAGTCACCGGTGGCTGCTTCTCCCAGCACTCCCCATAGAGCTTCTGGCCTCCAGCTGTCCCAATGCCGAGGCATGGTCTGAACAAACCCCCAACAGCAGCAAGAAAGAGCTGATTCGCATGGACAGTGGCTTGGACTCAAGATCCTGGAGTCTTTTATTAGTAGCCACAAGTGTTTAGGCGTCCTGCTTTAACTGAGAGCAACGTACAGCAGCAGGGACAGCGGGGAGCCGGTGGGTTCCTGATCCTGGGCAGAGAGTCCCGGCTGGGAGAGATGGAGAGTTCCTGTGTGTTTGCAACGAGACCCGCCCACAAACCCCGACAGTGTTTACAGGAAGCCAGGTCACCCCAGCTGCCTTCTCATCTGGCGGGGGGAAGAGTCCCACGCAGGAGGCTGCAGCAGGGGGATTTCAACAGTCCGGCCTTCCAGGGAGAACTCCCCAGAACGGCTTGGTGGGGCCTTTACTCCTTGGATGCTGCCTGTGCCGCCTGCTGGGCCAGCCAGTATTTGTAGCGCTTGGTCTTCGGCCTCATGAAGTTCACCACAGACATGGGCACCCTGACGGTGTCCAAGCCGTTCACCTGCAACACACAAGCCCAGGATGGAGATGTGGGTTAGGGCCTCACACAAGGATTCTTTCCCCCTGCTTCCAGTGAACCGGCGCAAAGGGCCAGGCTCCTAAGCTGGCAGAAAGTGGCTGGGTCCCCTGCGGCTCCCTCCACAGCAGGTTGTTTCTGTTGGTCAGACGTTAAGGGTTTCATGGGCAGGAAACACTCGCTAGGCCGGAGATCAGAGTGCACCCAGGGCAGGTCCAGACACAGGCACACGAATGCATCAGAGAGGGGAAAAGATTTCAAGTTCCTTCACAGTGTAGCTGAATGGGTGAGTTCACCTTTAAAACCCTTCGTGCTTGTTACAGCTGATTGGACAGGCTGTGCCTCTCTCTCACTCTCGCCCCTCCTCACTCCGACACGGGTCTGCCTGCACTGTTGGTACCAGGGCCTTCACGGCCGCAGCTCCCCCTCTGAAATCTCCTGTCTCCCTCCGGTTCCATTTCAAATCTCTGCCTGCAACATCAGCTCCTTTCTCCCTCTCAGCGTTTGGACATGCTGCTCTCAGGTTTTTGGGGTTAGTGTGTCCAGAAGATACTGGTACCTTCCAGGCCTGTCACTCACAGAGATGCAGTAACCAATTTGGAAACATAGCATGCTGCTCACATGCATTGGGGATTCCATATAGCAAATTAAACAGGAAGCTACACACATTCGCACAGCTGTAACGGACACCAATTGGACATTCATCCTGCAAGTTTCAGAGCTGGCTTCTCCTCCCCCAAGTAGGCAGGAAGGACAAAAGATGAATAGAAATACAGCAGGCGAAATTCTTTTCTGCCTTGGACATGTTTTACAAAACGCCTCCAGGGTGGGTAGGAAAGAGAGACCTTTAAAACCTGGCTCTTTTCTACTGTGGGGGTGCCAGCACGTCTAACAAGAGTAGGGGTTTGTCTGTGGCTAGGCCAAAGTTCTCCTGCCCTTCCTTGCCTTTCCATCTACCCATCTGATAGCCCTGAGGGGGCTACGTTCCCGTGGGTATCCAGTTCATAAAGCACTCTGGAATGTGAGGCAGTGCAGATGCGGGGGTGCAGCAGTAACTTCATGCTGAGGATCTCAAAGCAGGCTCAGTCAGCAACAAAGCTGCCCAATTCCCCCCTCCCTGCAAGATGCAAACAAATATTTTCTCCGTGTTACACAGAGGATAAATGAGGTCCAGAGCAGGGAGGCAGAGACGGAGAAAGTGGAGCCATTTCTAGCTAAGGGACCTTCAAAAGAAAGCAGCTCCCCCCTTCCCAACAAAATGGGCACTTACCGTCACCTCACACCAATATTCGCCCCACCTCGTGATGGGCTCATCGGGCAGCTTCAGCGCTTGTGGCGTCACAGAGACTTTAAGCTGAAAGAATCAGTACCACGACTTAACCCCAGGATGCTTATTCCAACCCAAAGCCAGCAGCTGCCTCCCCATTCTAATCACACACAGTAGCTTGAGGTTCAACACTTAAAACTAGAGAAAACAAGGTGGTCTCTCCTGTAAGGGCAGCAAGACTGGAGCCAGCAAGTCCTTTTCTGGGGCATTGTCCCATTAAGAACAGGTGTTTGGAAGTGGCTCACCAGACTAGTTAACTAAGGTTAAGCAGGATGGGAGATGGGACCTCTTCAGCATGGCCAGAGCAGCCCCCAGCTCTCATGGCTGCTGCTGGCCCTGTGCAGAATTACTGGCTCCTGTTCCGGCCCGCAGCACAGTCCTAGCAGGGGGGACTGCTCCCAGGCACCGGTTAACCATTACTCGGTCAGTATCCCTATACCAGACGCAGCTGGGAGCCAGATGACATGACTGCCTGCTAGAGCTCGTAAAAGACACAGGTAGGGGAAGCTCGGAAAGAAAAGGGCTGGACAAGGAGTATCTGCTGCGACAGATGCCCAAGTGTTTGTGAGCTGGGAGGCCAGATGGCAGAGATCTGCAGGAAGTAGACAGGTTCCAGCAGATGCTCTCTAGCTTAACACTAGGATTTGCTGGGCCTTGTAAATTCTAACCCCAGCCAAGAGCTCTCTAGGAAGAACACTGAGGCCTTGGCCTCCTGCTAGATTTCTGGCTTCCCCTGATTAGCCCTGACTGATAAGTTCCTGAGGCTCCACACTGAGCCAGCTTTGCTGTCTGGGATTGACTCTCAGCATCCCAGTAACAAACGAAATGAGCCCCCACGCCCCGACCCTGAGTCCACATACGAGCCCCGGTCACAGCCCGACCACACCAACGTTTTTCAGGAAGTGACGGGCGACGATCTCGTTATTCAGCTCCCACTTCACGTTGTTCTTCATCCCCACCTCCAGATGGCAGTTCCTCAGGAACTCGAGGGTCTAAGAAGGGGTGGAGGATGACAGATGGGGAGCATGAGTGCAAGGAATGGCCAGGTCTGTTAAATTTCTAGCGGACAAGTGTCTGCATCACAAAGCCACGTTGGTAACAGAACCCATGATGGCATGGCTCATGGAGAACGAACTCCCTTGTTCAGACCTGCAGGAGGTCTCAGAAAGTCAGGGCCAAGTCACACTGGCAGGACCGTGTGGGGGGAGTTGGCTCAGTTTCACCCATGCTGCAAACATTCACCAAATGAACAGCTCTACATTGTCCAGTGTCATGAACGGCTTGCTTTGTTTCAAGAGCTAGCCCAGGGTAAAGATGTTTCAGAGTCACCAATGTGGGACAAGTCTTGCCAAGATCATGTTAAGAGACAGGTACCACAGGCTGACTGAGCTTTCATTGTAACTCCAATTCAAAGCTACCCCATCTCCCCTTTAGAAGGGATGATCGGGTCAATCATTTACATAACGCCATAGGTATGGAATCACAGTTTCGATAAAGACAAGTTCTTTGCCCCTACAGACTCACAGTCTCCATCTTTGTCCTTGTTTTTTATTGGGGGAAAAAAGCTACCTGAACAAACATACTCATATAAAAATGCACCATCCCTAACCACAGCAGGGTCCTATTAATTTTAGTTTTGCTGGCTGGGACTCTCCAGTTCCCAAGACCCCCACATTTCACTGGAATCGCACGGCTGTTTTACAGACATTCGCGTCTCCCCACCCCCACGACAACCTTTCTACTCACCTTTTCACCACTCTGAGTCTGAAGTCTCTCCAGCTTCCCTTCATTACGTAGCTATGAGGAATAAGATTGGTGGGGAAAGCCCAGTTAACAATGTGTCCCAGTTCATCTCAGCACTGTCCAAGATTTGGGGGTTACTTATGGAGCTCTCAATTCAAAAAGCTTTAGTGCCAACTATGTCCCCATTCTGGGAATTTTGGGATAGGAACTCTCTGATGTGCTGTAGTGAGTCACAACACATTAATTTGTATTTCACTACCCAGCAAGTCCAGCAATTGTCAAAGCCCCAGTCCTCACCTCACTTGGCAATAAAGTTTTAATAGCAAGGCTTTTTTTTTTTTTGGCTTTGGTATAATAGGTTTACCCATGTATTCAGAGTTACATCATTCAAACTAGACAGCATTTGTCAAAGCAGGTGAAGATGGATTTTGGCAATGCAGAATCCTTGACTATTATGTGAATTTCAGTAATGCCTAGGAGCCCCAAATCAGCTGCCCGTTATCCTAGGGACATGTATTTCTAAAACAGTTGAATTTGTTAAATTTCCTGTTACTTTGCAGTTAGTGTGTATCCTGGTCATTAGTAATGTTATATGAACTGAAAGGTATTTTTCATACCACTCGTTTAATGTGGGATACTAGAGACAATTAGGTTTAGTGCCACTGTCTTTACAGCGTTTTCCCAAATATATCTCTACCACAGCTGCTCAAATCTTACTAGCTAACAAAACAATCAGTAATGCATGAGAGTGCACACACAATTTGCTATAAAGAAGTTAAGTGAACCCACTTAAAAACAAAAGAACTCTCCAGGTTTAGTCTCCTAATTTAATCCTATGTTAGATTTACAAACAAACACCCCTCCCCCCCAGAAAACCCCAAATGAGCAGCAGTTTCACTCTGAAGTTGCAGAGCCTAGACATTTTGTGGAAAACAATAAACCTGCAGGACCTGGCATATTTCGTCCAATGAAATCACCAGTTAAATATTCAAACCAACTTCTAGTTTCTGGAAGGTTGTGTGCTGTTTGCACTGAATCCAGGGAGAAACTCAAATAGCTCAGGGCAGAATTCTGCACATCAGGATAGCAGAGAGCACGATGTGGGATGGAAAGGTCATTCCTTCCTCAAACTCACCTTCATTTCCTCCTCAAACATTTTTTTGTTCTCCGGCGAGGCGTAAACGGCAAGTCCCTCAGAAAGAAGCTTGTTGCGACCCACAGATTTCTTCACAGAGACAATATCACCCCGGCTTCCCAAATCTGTGAATAAGACACACAGGGCAGTGTGATTTGGCTAGCAAACACAGCGCATAAGGCATTAGAGAGCTTTTAGAGTTACACAGCACATTCCTCCCACGAAGGAAGCCAGAGCACTTCGAACACAGGAAAAGGAAATGGCATTTCACAGAGATTTTGGAAAACGGGGCCTAAAAAGCCGAAATGTCTTGACTGAATCAGGCAAGATGTTTGTGTGTTGTGTGTACTATCAGCTGCTTCACTGCACCTCACTTCATATCCAAAATGCATGAGCATGTAGGTGTGAACCTAAGTCCAATGTATGTGTAATTACGATGAAGGAAAAGCTGTGACAAAAATATTTAAAAATAACTGGATTTAAAAAACTGAAGGACACAAGTGGAGCGATTGCTCTTATGCAGCGGTTAAAGCAGAGAACTGGGAGTCAGGACTCCCGGGTTTGGCCCTGAGGGGAGGCTTTAGCAGCAACACATTAATATTTATTTCCATATCACCTTGATAACTTCAAAACCACAGTGATTTCTCAGCTCTGCCTCTGTATCTCTAGCAATAAAATGGGGAAAAGAACATGGGAGTCTGGTTCACTTCTCTGCTCTACCCATTAGATAGCACTGGTCTCATAATGCAGGGGCGGGGAACCTCCGGCCCAGGGGCCAACTGCAGCCCCCAGCTTGCCTAGATCTGATCCTCAAGGCTCAGGACTCCCCCCCCTCCCCCCAGCATTGGGGAACCCGCACTGTGAACTCCAGCCCCCTCCCCCTCTCTCCTTGTGAGGGGGATGGAGGATTGTCTGTCTTCTCACTTGTGGACCAAGGTCGTGAGGGTTTTGGGGCGGGGATAGGCTTGTCGTGTTTGATTTTTGTTGTTTTTTCTTCTCACTTGTGGCCCGCAAGTGACTTTTCTGTGGGGTCTGCAACCTTGCTTTAGGAGAAAATCTGACTACATAACGGATTGGTGAATCTCAGGAGAAAACTCAAGACTCCCGTGACAGTACCCAGCACAACCTTGTCTCGTTAGTACAGAAAGCAAATGCCCCCACTATGTGGAAAGGAGGCCGAAGCTGCAATGGAAACCTACAGTCCACAGACTGAGTGAGAATCAGCTCCAGCTTCTCCTTGGGCTGGTGTTTGGTGTCTTCCACCAGCCTGTAGATGCGGTGCCTCCTTGGGTGCAGGCGAGGTGAACGCCCTTCTTTGCTCAGCGGGACCTGCCACCAGCGCTCCACCACCACGGTGCCCTGCAGAGAGAGACGGATCAGCTTGGGGGTGGGAGATATCCGGAGGAGGGGGTATGGCCGGGGGCACCTGCCTGGATATGGGAGGCTCAGCTCGAAGAAGGGGGCGTCTGAACTGGCCAGGGGATTCAGTTCCTTGGGGGGCCCTCGTGTTCTACCACTGCAGGTCTAGGGGACAGTGAAAACCGTGTTCGCCCCCCCGAGCAACATCCCCCGAAAGACAAAGGTTAAAAGCTGTCGTAAATACGCCCCTGTGTGCTACCATCAGCATTCTGTCCAACTGTGTATCCCAAACACAGACACTGGCATGCACACCCAGTCCGATGCTCTTGAGATCAGCCCTGCTCATCAGAACTGTGTCCTGGACTGTTCACAGGCATGGCCGCCCGCAGCGCTCCATGGCCAGGCTCTGTCAGGAGCTGCAGGAAGGGGCGATTTGATTTGTCCTTTTCATATGTGTTCCTTTTTTTTAATTGTATCCTTTGGTATATATGGTTGTGACTATTTTCTTCCACTATTTGATCTGAGGAAGTGGGTCTGGCCCACGAAAGTTCATCATCTAATAAACCATCTTGTTAGTCTTTAAAGTGCTACATTGTCCTGCATTTTGCTTCAGCTACCCCAGACTAACACGGCTACATTTCTATCACTATTCAACATGAACCAACTCTCGCGGCCTGCCAGCGGATCACCCTGACGGTGAATTGTAACGCCACTGGACTCAGTGGGCCAGTCACAAAGTGTCACTGGCCAGATGTGGTCCACAGGCCAGTTTGGGGACCCCTGCTCTGAAGCATTGGGGACAGCTGTGGCCGGAGATAGGAGGTGCTCTGAGGGAGGCCTCTCGTGTAGGTGCTTGGCTGGTGCGTCTTGCTCACATGCTCAGGGCCTAGCTGATCGCTAGAGGTGGGGCCAGGAAGGAATTTACCCCCCAGCTCAGAGTGGCAGGGACTCTTGGGGGATGGAGGTGGCTATTTGCCTTTCTCCATAGCAAAGGAGTATCACTGGGTGGGATTAGCTGGGTGTTTCTCACAGTTTTTGTGCCATGCAGGTGCCCAGGGCCCGGATGGCACAGCCCAGCCTGGACTCCTGTGCACTGCGATACTTTGGTCTCAGTCTGGGTGTGGGGTTTAGTGAGTGGGGTTGGGGACTTGTGCGAGCCAGGCAGTCAGACTGGATGAGCCGGTGGCATTGTCTGGCCTCTCTCACTCTGAGCCGCTGACTCTCCACCCCGAGGGAACATGCCCTGTTGGCGCAGTGCAGCAGAGAGAAAAGGACCTGCTCCAGAGGCTGGGGGACAGAGGGACCCCCAGGCCTGCCAATGGGAGGGGGCAAAAGGGGCAACTGCCCTGGGGCCCAGTGATTCAAATGGGCCCAGGGCTCCCAGTCTGCAGCTGCTTGAGGTCATCTTTTCTGAACACACAGTAATTATTGTGAGAAGCCAGACTTACCTGAATTTTTAAATCTGAACAGATAATTCACCAAACTCATCTACTTAAAGTATACAGATGACTAGCATCATACTGGGTGCAAACATTTTATGCAGTAAAGCTTTTAACACCTGTGTCAATTTGCACATCTATTGATATTGACTTGCTATTTTATACACCAGAGGTGGGGAACCTGAGACCCAGGGGCCGGATCCAGCCCTCAAGGCTCAGGGCCCCTCCCAGCATCAGAGAGCCCCGACTGGAGGCTGGAGCACACAACATCGTGTGTGAAGGGAATGGGGGAGAGGGGAGTCTCTGTGCTTTGGGGTTTTTTTGGGGGGGGGGTTACTTCTCACTTGTGTGCAGCCCCCAGCTGATTTTTCTGTGGGTCAGCAGCCCCCTGATCCAAAGGGTTCCTCCCCCATGGATCTTGCAGTTTGGGGGATGAAGGAGCCACCTGATGGCTGCCAGGGACGGAGTGACCCCCTCCCCTCAACTACAGCTCCCTCCCCTATGGATCAGGGGATGACATGGCCCAGCCACACAACATCCTGCACTTGTGCCCAGGAGAGTGAAGGGCATAACCTAGGTGTGGTCCAGGGGGCGTGGCCTGGCTGGGCGTGTCACAATGATGCCCTCCCAGCAGGGTAATGTCACAATGGATGTGTCACACAGCACCTGGCTACTTGAGCAGGGCGCAGGGGTTCAGGGGCTCACTATGCCGCGGGTAGGCATTGCCTGAAGAAACGTCGCTGCTCCGGGACCACACCTATCTGTTTTCCCTTTCTTATACTGAGAGAGGGAAGAAACGGAACTACTTATATCCCATCTGTTCCCCCTTTGCATATTACTACTACTGCTATCGATACCGTCTCATCTACAGGCGGAGGATGGTGCCTTTCCAAGGGAGGTGAGTGGCTTAATCTTTGATAAAATTAAAAAGTAACAGGGAACCGTCACTTCTGGCCAAGTGTTTACTGAATTGTACGCTCCGTGGGGCAGGGACTGTCATTTGTTCCGTTTTTATACAATGCCTGGCCCAACGGGGTGCTGGTGCACAACCATGCCATAAATCACCCATTGGCTGTGTCTAGACTGGCCAGTTTTTCCGGAAAATCAGCCGCTTTTCCGGAAAAACTTGCCAGCTGTCTACACTGGCCGCTTGAATTTCCGCAAAAGCACTCCTACTGTAAGAAATCAGTGCTTTTTGCGGAAATACTATTCTGCTCCCGTTCGGGCAAAAGTCCCTTTTGCGCAAAAGGGCCAGTGTAGACAGCTGAGATTTGTTTTCCGCAAAAAAGCCCCGATCACGAAAATGGCGATTGGGGCTTTTTTGCGCAAAAGTGCATCTAGATTGGCCATGGGTGCTTTTCCGCAAAAAGTGCTTTTGCGGAAAAGCATCCATGCCAATCTAGACGCGCTTTTCCGAAAATGCTTTTAACGGAAAACTTTTCCGTTAAAAGCATTTCCGGAAAATCATGCCAGTCTATACGTAGCCAATTGTGTTTTCAAAAGCAATGGGTGAATTTAGGAGCTCAACTTGAGAGATCTTAGAAAGGCTTGGTTTTTGGGGGAACGGAGGGGGCTCAACATCTTCTGAAATCAGCCCCCCAACTATCTCTGTAGGTAGTTGAAGTATGTGTGTGTGGAGAGGAGGGGAATCTGAAACAACCCTTCTACCCATTATTTAGATTTTACCATTATTGGGGGTGTTTTGCATTTGTTAACAAAGCGTGCTGCTCCAGCCAGCTGTTTAGGTACTTCTGTAACCCACATTACTGCAGCATCAAGCACTTCCCGGGCTGCCAATTGGAAAACAGGCATGGAGCTGCTCCATGACTTGCCCGTGGTCAGAAAAGGAAGGCTGTGGCAGAGCAAGGAACTGAGTCTAGACTAATGCCCTAACCGGGCGCCAGAATTAGTTCCCAGCAGAAAGGTGACACACCAGTCTGTCTGTCCACCAGTTAACCTGCCCCCTTGCATCCACCCTTCCCCGACAGAGCCTCGGGAAAGACCGGTCCCTTTGGGAGGTGTCTTTCAGGCCAAGTCAGGCTGGAAACCACTGACAGCATTTAGCCTCAAAGGACCTTCTCCAGCTGCCCGGACTGGATTCCTTGGGGTGTCCAGCTCTCCAAAGCAATCAGCCAAACCTCCTTTAAAACAGCCAAAGTCGAATGCCCCTAATGTTGTGGGTGGGAGCATCCGCCTTTGCTGTGGCTAATTATAAAGGACCGTTAGGCACAAGAAGGGGATCAAGAGCGGAGGAATTGACAATGGATAGTCCCTAGTAGCAGCTGTTTGTTAAGAGCTCGGATGAAATCTTGGCCTCATTGAAGTCAAGGCTAAAACTCTCACTGACTTGCCGCTAGGCCAGGATTTCATTCTGCCCCCTCCCCCCCCCCCGTCCTTCTCTTTCTTGTTCTCTCGTCCTCAAAGTATCACCATGACCGAGCGCGAGAGCCTGACACTCAGACCTCGCTACTGCCTCCAATGTTCCTGAGTCCTTGGGAGGCGGCTCGCCCGGCCAAGGAGCTAACCAGGGAGAGCTGAAAGAGTTGTACAAGGTAGGAAGCCATGGGCCGCCTGGCTGAGTCCTGCGTGCATCAAGGGGATTGTTCCCATAGTGGTTGAACCTAAGAGGGTTGGGCTGGCCAGTCGGTGCCTAGAGAAGAGGGTGATGGGCCCAGAGGAACTGGGTGGGCAGGAATCATTAACGTTTGCCCTTTGAACGAGAAACCGTTTCAGATTCTTTGGGGGGAATAGTGCAGGGAGGAATTTGCCTTGCCTGACACTGGCCGCTTCCTGTCTTGAAATCCTTTTCAGTTAGATCCTAGTCTAGGCTCCCCAACATCTGGAGCACATGGGCCGGAGCCATGGGCAGGGGGGCAAGCTGGGAGTTCCCAATTGGTAGGATCTGGATGTAGATTAGATCCCCATGGCGGACTCCAGCACCAACAGGAGTTAGTTTCCAGCTAGCTCGGCTGGTAACAAGCAGGGCCGGCCCACATTTTGGCACCTGAGGCGGGGAGCTCACATGACGCTCCCATATGCACCAGCAGCCAACAATTTTCTACACTCTGGGTTCTAGTGCTCCCTCTCCCCCCTGTCAGGCTGCCTCAGTTAGCCTCATGGTAACGGGGCTTCTTTGCAGGCTGGGAACCTGACCGTGTTTGCCGGCGACCTTCTGCTCCCTGGTCTCCCTGTCCAGCTGGACTTCCATTTCCAACTCGGGCCCCACGGCTCCGTTCACTGGCACGGACTCCTAACCGACAGCAAGCTTTTCCTGGACACGCCCCGCGGTGCCCTGGATCAAAATAACCGTGAAAGGTAAGGAGCCCGGCCTGGCTTGCCACTTCCTGTGGCTGGGAGAAAGCAGCCCCCGTCAACATCCCCCTTCTACTTTGACCCTGCTTCTCCAGGACAGTTGCAATCTAGGATAACTCCAGTTTCATTTGCAAACACACTGAAGAGCCTGGAGCCATTCATTGTTGTAGAGATGGACAAGAGCAATCAAGTCTCCGGCCCTTGGGTAGCACAGGGTTAGCCTCTCCGGCGCAGGCTGCCGGCCTGTTCTTTATTCCATCCACCTGCCATTTTGTGTTGGGACGTTGGTTACAGTTATCCCTTGAGGCTATGTCTACACTTATGGCTCCTTGTGCCAGAAATATGCAAATGAGGCTAAGGGTGGCATATCGCTGCACCTCATTTGCATGCCTAATGAGCCACCATTTTTGCAGAAGAGGCTCTTGCGCCAGAAGCCGCCAGTGTAGACATAACCCTCTTGCGCAATGCCGCTACGCTGATTTAGCCTAATTTCTTACTCCTACGGCTATGGTAACAATTGATGCTGATAACGATGACCCTTCAGCAGTGCAAGATCCTGAAGTGCCTTCTGAATCTAAGAAAGATTAAATTATGTTAAGTGTAATTTTAGTGTTAGTCTGACGCAAGAAACCACGAGTGTAGACTGTCTTCCTACAGCTGTAAATCACCTTCCACCCGTGGCAGGTGGTGGCTCGCAGGAAAAAGTCAGCAGCTCCCCCCGCATGGTGGCCAAGGTCATGGGTAATAACCGCTCCCATTGTGTGCTCACCGGGGCTGCGTCTTCAAATTGCCTGCAGTCAGGGCAAAGGCCGGCTGAGGGACCCAGCGCGATTTACTCAGCTCTTCTTAGCAGTTAACAATTGTGCCTGCTTCTAAATGAGCCCTCTTGAAAGGAATCCAACCCCTTGGTCCTTTTCGGTCTTTGGAAGAGCCTGAATCTCGGCTCAGGTTCGTCTCTTTCCAGCTGACCCACCTGGGTTTTTATACAGCTGCTGCCCAAGGGTTTGAACTCTCAAGTGGCAGCGTAGCACAGAACCAAACCTGCAGGAACCAAAGCCACATCGAAGGGTTAGATTGCTCACAGGTGCCAAGCCCCCAATCCCTCCGGATTTTAACTGGAGCTGAGCACGTAGCTCCTTGGAGACTTCCCTTCCTCCCCCCCACCATGGAGCTATTTCTCAGCTTGTTCAAGCCCAGGCGTGTGTGTCTTTGCAGCCTGACGGCGACGCTGGACTACGTGGAGGAAAAGACGGCCGTGAACCTCGTGTTTGTCAACTTCCAGCCGACTCGCAGCGATCGTGGTAAGGGGCTGGTGGGTGGGAGGCGAACACAGATACGACTACACTCGCAGCGTCTTGGGCCAGAAATATGCAAATGAGGCTAACTGTGGACTATTGCTGAGCCTTATTTGCATACCTAATGAGCCGCCATTTTTGCAGAAGAGGCTTCTTTTGCAGAAGGAGCTGTCTACCCTGCCCCTTCTTGCGCAAGAAAACCCCTCTTGCACAGTGCTGTTATGCTGATTACTCTTTAGGAAGAACGGCGTTGTGCAAGAGGGTTCTTCTTGCGCAAGATGGGGCAGGGTAGACAGCTCCTTCTGCAAAAGAAGCCTCTTCTGCAAAAATGGCGGCTCATTAGGTATGCAAATAAGGCTCAGCAATAGTCCACAGTTAGCCTCATTTGCATATTTCTGGTTCAAGAAGCCGCAAGCCTAGACATAGCCAGAGGCTGTCTCTACATTGGCATGATCTTGTGACAAAGTGGCCACTTTTGCACAAAAACATGCTGCCTGTCTACACTGGCGGGGAGTCCTTGCGCAAGAACACTGACGTTCTAATGTGTTAAATCAGTGCTTCTTGTGCAAGAACTATGACGCTCCCACTCAGGAATAAGCCCTCTTGCGCAACTGTTCTTGCGCAGGAGGCCAGTGTAGACAGGCAACATGAATTTCTTGTGCAAGAAAGCCTGATGGCTAAAATTTATCCGGGAATAGCTATTACTTATCCTGGGTGTGGAATGCACAGAGACCAGCTATCAAAGGAGGACTATTGTTCTCCCCACTTTTCTGGAAGGAAAGCGCCCCTCCCCTGGGAAGCCGCATTTTAAAACAAGGTACCTGATTCTGCAGTACTGTTAGGCAAGGGAAGGGAGAATTCTAAGCCCTCGCTAGAGTATTTTGTAGCGAAGAGACGCTATTTGACTTGCAATTCAAAGAGCAAGGCCCCCCGTCGGACTTCAGCCACGCAGCCAGGACTTTTCAATGGAAGCAGGCTGCACGACTTTGTGAGTTAGAATGACTTCACGCAGCTCCCAGTCCTTTCCCCTCTCACCCCTCCATCACGTCAGGGTCTAGTAACACTAGAGGAACAGTGATAGACACGTAGCTGTGTTAGTCTGGTCTAGTTGAAACAAGCGCCAGGACTATGCAGCACTTTAAAAGACTAACAAGATGGTTTATTAGGCGATGAGCTTTCGTGAGCCAGACCCACTTCCTCAGATCAATTTTCATAGGTCTGGCCCACGAAAGTGCATCACCTAATAATCCATCCTGTTAGTCTTTGATGGGCTGCAGAGTCCTGGCGCTTGTTTCCACTAGAGGAACAGGAACACTGAGGTGAAGGGGCAGTGAGAACAGCTGTTTTTCATAAGCACCTCCTCCCCTTTCTGTCCCACAGGAGACTTGTTGCGAGCATTCAGCTACTTGGGCTTTGAGGTTGTCAGACCCGATCATCCCTTGCTGCCACCGTGGGAGGATGTTATCTTCATGGTTTACCAGATGGAGCGCGACTGCTGTCCAGAGCTGGCATGAGAGTCCCTGAAGCTGGGCACACTGCCCAGATGGGATGGGATGGGATGGGGAGGGGGGGAGAAGGCAGGGAGGTGTGGTTCCTCCTTGACTTGGGCCTGGAGCTGGCAGGATCAGACCGAGGCTTTGAGTTGCGGTGGGTAATTGAGCCTGTCCCCATGGAGCAGCATTAAATGGGTGTGAAAGCACAGGTGTGGCCGTGGCTTGGGGGATCGGGGGG